AAAACCCTGCTAGTTTGGGACTCAGGGCTCTCAATCTCGATCCGCTGTGTCGGTGACAATTGAGAGTCCCTGCTTAAGCTTGAATAAACGACCCTCATGTGCTTACATCGGAAACGGCCTCCTGGTGGTCTTTGGGACTTCACAATCTGGGCACAACAGAGCCTCATGTCTGGGTGACAAATCCAATGTGGCTGTTTTGAATTCTTCACTTTCATGAAAATTGAAAGAGGACCGACCTAATCAAAAGGTTACTTAAAAGATTGTTTAAAATATTTTAAATACTAAATCACTGGCCAAGTTTTACTGTGTAACCGGGAAGGAATTCAGAGAATTGAGTGACGTTGTAACAAAATTTTATTGACCATCTACTTTTTTATATGGATACAGTTTCCTAAGAGTTAAATCTTATTTTTAAAAAAGAAGGAACGAAACAGGCAAGAATTGATGGCTCATTGTTAAAATGGTAAAAGGTTAATCCACCCATAAATACGTGAAATTTCAAGAAAAACAGACCCATTCCTCTCATTAAGCAACGCATTTTAATAAGTATTTTTCTTTAGTGATTTTCAAGATGTGTTGATTGCATTGCGATCAAGTTCCCATTAATAATTGTAACGATAATTCAGTCTACATCTTTTTCTTAGCATTTAGAGCCTTTTGATTATAGGAAATTAAAACATTTAAATGTTGCAAAGGTGTATAAAGAGTGAAACTTGAGTACAAAATGTAATTTCATTAGGATCAAATGTAAAGAGAGAAAACGAATGGAACTAGAGGCTCAAGGACTAAAAGGAGTGAGGGAAAATTTGCTTCAAACTATAATAGACCTATGGGATCAGAAGTATAGCTCCTCGGGTCATATTGATCCAATAGGGAAGTAGGTAAGGTAGCAAGGGTACACATGGAAGAAACAGAGGCATTTTGGAAAGGGATGGGTTCAGATGCTCTGGTCACCACCCACCTGGGTGACTGATGCCTAGCTGGACTTTCCTGGACCTGTTGATACCAATTATAGTATAATCTAAAGTTATTGCTTAGCCCTCAAGGAGGAATGTAGGCCTGGTAATTCATCTTTCTCTTGAGGCCCGGTCTTCTTCAGATGTGCTTCCAGCTGCACTTCAGATCTCTTTATTCTTTGTGCTAACCTCCTTGAGAGCCCAGTCCCTCTCTGACTATATATTAATGTCTGTCTAATTTAGCTGCCTATAATAACTGTGGCATGGGCATTGGTACTGCCTGGTGGGGCCCAAAGATCTCAAAGGCTCTCTTCATTCCTTTTTTTTTTTTTTGGCAATTTCAATAAACCTGTCTTCAGGTTCAGATATTCATTCTTCTGCTTCATCTTATCTGTTATTGAGGCTTTCAAGTTTTTTGACTCACTGAACTCTTACCCACATTGTACCTACATTATGACTTTGCTGTATAAATTGCCCCTGATAAAGGGGCTCTGTGGCAACCCATTTCTGAAACCCCTCCTGTCTCTCAGGAGATACCTCTCAATAAACTTTTCTACTCTGTTTTATGGGGTATAATCCAATGCAGTCATTCATTTTGCTGTTTGAATTATCCAACTTTCATCATTGGGATATCTTTCACCATCAGGAAGCTGCTCTATCCTTTTGAAATGTTCTCCTCTTTTTTGATAAAAGGATTTCTTTATTTTGTGATACTATAAGACACTTGCATTTCCCCTTCCTTAGACCTAAAACTGGCCAAGAAGCTGTGGTTATCTTAACTGAAGAACAGGATTTAAATATTAAGATCTGGACACTGGGTGTTTTTACTTCTTGGTACCCCTGTCCAAAGGACAGCTAGGAAAATGTTATTTGTGTATATTAATTTCTATTTCTATCTTCCTATCTACATAAAAATGAGTTTGTACTTATTCCTCTGATTGCAATCCAATGCCATAGCATTTATTTAGCTTTCTTAACTGCCTGTGTTTTTCTTGACAATGGGAAATCTGGCTATATCTAAAAATTTATTTGTTAGAGTATATAGTAGCTGGAGATTTGTTCATCTATACCAATATAAGAAAAAGATTTACTGACTAATGGCTTTTTGTCTTTAGTCATAAGATTGAGTCAAAACACTCTTTTCCCAAGTCACTTCCGTTACAGTTCTGTGTACAATAGTCCAGTAACAGATCTTCCTGGATTTTTGGTTAGGGTAGTGTTTTAATTCAGGCTCAGCTATGCATTTATTCCGCCAATCATTAATTTACCCAATAATTTATTGAGTATTATGTGCCACTCTTCTAGGCCTTAGGGATATACAACCATGAAAAAAAAATAAAAGTCCTGTCCTGCATGGAACTTACATTGCAGTGTGAGAAACAGACAATGAAAAAATAAGTAACATTTTGTGGTACCTTAGGAAGAACTGCTATAAAGAAAACACCAGAAAAGGGGGGATGTATCATATTTATAGGTAAAAGGGTTGATATTTCAGATAGGATTCTGAAAGCTAAGAAGGCTTCTGCTAAAGATGTGGAAAAAGATAAACTTAGTTGAATGACCTGGCCCTCAGTGTCTCAGTTTCTTTATCTGCAAAGTGAGCATGGTATCCACTGCTGATAGTTCACTGGGAGGAATAGACTAATTGACAGTTATAAACAGTAGTACTAACAGTAGTATAAACAGTATTTTACTCAATAAATGCTTGGATAACTTATTTTCTTTCACATGTAAATAAGCACTGGTACTAAAGTTGTTAAAGTAACCTTTAAATGTTTGTCACAGAATTTGACATAACAAACTTCCATGACAGAAGTTGAAGAAAATTTGGATGGCTGTAGAATCTTCCTTTCTGCAGGTAATTACAAGGAGGGTGCTAGAAGATGTACTTCTTGAGACACTTGTTCCATATCAGTTTTCTCTTAGTATCTCAGATGATTGGGGCTTTTTCCTCAGTGGGATAATCTATCAAGAAGTGTGACGGGGAGAACTGTGAAGAGATTTTAGTCTGTTTGAAAGCTTTAAAGTTAGCCCGCCCCAAATTCATGGATGTTGGCAGAAGAATGAGATCTCTGTGTCGGAGACAAAGGAATCTCTTATTCATAGATGAGCATCAGCATGTTTATACCCCCAAATCTCATGGAGGCAGCACTTGGATTCCACGTGAATACAGTATTCTGCATGAATACTGTGCACACACTGGATTGTGTTTCCGAACACAGGTTAGGGAACTCTGATCTTCTACAATAGAGGGAGACACTGTGTGTTCCAGTAGGGAAATTTGCCTCTGGAGGGGAGATACAATGGTATTTTCAGATTGTCAGCTATACAAATATCCTTGAAAATACCGTCCTGAGAAAGGGCAGTTAAGTGTTTCACTTGCAAGATTGGCAGAAATTTAGACCCATGGAGAATATCCCCCAACATAAACTTTGTTTCTGGGAGAGATGAATATTATCGGGCACGCATATTGTTGCTCTGCATACTCTGCCGCTAATTTAGAGGGACTAAGAGAGCCATCCATGCTTCTGCCTGCTTCCACCGTACAGCCACAACCCTATTTCCCTCTAATGAATAGAACCAGTCACTGTAACCAACAACTTTTTTTTTTTTTTCGTACCGGGGATTGAACTCCGGACCTGGTGCTTGCGAGGCAGGCGGCGGAACCACTGAGCCAAATCCCTGACCTATCCAACAACTTTTTAACAGTGTAACCAGCTGACATCTTCAAACCCAAATGAGAATGGTAGGCTCAAATTCTAATTTAATGGGACAACTGTTTCCCTGGTGGAAACAACCCTGGCTGAATACTAAGAGTCCTAGACTGCAGAATTGGACACAAAGAATACAAGGCAGGATTGAAAATGGTGAATGTTTAAATTTTAAAATTAATTCAGTAAAAAGCATTGCCGCTAATCCTCAAAATAATCCCCCTTGCTTTGAACACACTTATCCTATCGTCCTTGTCACTTTCTGAAGCAGTTCTGGAAGTTCTTTTTTGCGTCTGTAGTTGTGCCATCATGGCTACCTCAGTGTCCTGAATTGATTTAGTACCTTTACTTTTCATGGTCGTTTTGACTTTGGCAAAGAGGCAGAAATCACACAGCGCCA